TCAAAAGTCAGAAGAGACCACATAATTCATGATTCCACTGATATAAACAGTCCAGAACAGGCAAGGCTGTAGACAGGGAACAGATCGGCAGTTTCCAGGGAGGGAGGGACAGATCCGTGAGTGCGTCATGCGGTGGAGCTTCTGTTCAGGGCAATGGAAACATCTAGATGTGACAGGAAGGCTGTGAGTACCGTAATGTGACCAATGCCACAGAACCGTAGGCTTTCGCATCGTTACAGTGGTGAGTGTAATGTCTTCGTGTGTTTTACCACAATAATAATAAAAACAAGACACCACGTGGCAGATTCTTACTACGTTTCCAGGGCATGGGAGTCTCTGTTTGGCACCCCTGTGCCAGTCCTCCTTTCCCAGGGTGGCTTTCCTGCTTTAGTGTCACATCGGGAACTGGTGTCCCACTGCCTCTGTTCAGGCTGCAGACACCATGCAGGCTGAGGACTCCAGCAGGCCTCCAATAGGTCCCAAGAGTCACATCTGCAGAAACCTGCAGAAACCTGTGGCCTCCCCGCAAAGCTGGGACTTCCTCTTGACTCACCAACAAACACCTTCCTCAGTCCTGGCAGCTGCATCCCACTTAGGACCTTGCAGGTCAATTTAGAAGCTAATGGTGCCCATATGGACAGTGCTGAAACCCAAACTGTCTGCAGCTGCTGGGCTGCGAGGCCAGATGTTCAGCTCCGTCTCCTCCAGCTGAGGATGAATTATCTGAGGCGATCATGGGAGACGGTCAGCTCAGAAACATAGTCATCTCAGGACCTAAAAGGAGGGCCTGAGTTGTAAGTAACAGAACAGAGGCTACAGGCTACGGGCTCCCAGGGAGAGGAATGTGGTCTGCAGGTTTGTCTGAATGGGCCACCAGTGCATTTTGTTTTCTTAATTAATTACCATCATTTACAAGTTGCCCACCAGGCACCACCCCTGCATCTCACACCTGGCTTGTTTCTCTATTTTAAAAGCCCCCACTTAAAGCAAAGCTCGCTTACAGCACAGCGATTCCTTTGGTGAAACAAGCATTTTATCCTCAGGCTTCACTGTAGGTGGCAAAGAATGCATTGAGGGCACGGAGAGGACCCTGGGCTCTGAGGACTCCTTGTGATGGTACCAGCCACCTGTCAGGAGGGTTCCGACCCGTCCTACATCTCAATCAATAAAGCCTCCGAGTGAGGACACACAATGGGTGAATCCTTTGGCTGACCTTCTCCTGCGGCCACTCATCCAACCCACCTGCTCAGCCCTGTTACACTTAAGTGGGACCGCATGGCTGCGTTTGAGGCGCCTGGCAGACGTGAGCGCTGCTCTGGGCACAGTGTCCCAGCCTCTTCCTTTCCCTTTCCGCTCTCTACTTTCCCATTCCATGAGGTGAATGGCTTTAATGGAGGGCAGAGCTGCAAAATCAAAGGACCATGGGTCCCCGAGTCGCTTGTTGCAGGAAAGGCTTCAATAAGAAAACATCTGCATTAGACTCCTGGGTGAGTGTTAAGCTTGTATTGGGTTAAATTACTGAAATTTTGAGTCATCTGTCATACTAGACTAATGCTCATAAGATAAGATGTTACCCCAACAAAGGGACCTACTCGCCTTCCAGCTCCGGGCCTCAGGAGTCACCAGTTGTCATCAATCGCTTTTGAAGTTTCTCAGAACTCCACACACCTGCTGTGTTCCCTGCAGACTCCATAACCACCTCTGAGTCTGCTGGAGTTTGCTGGACGTGGGTAAGAGAATGATTCCTCCCACACCCAGTATGTGCTGCTGTGTTCTTGGCCACTCTGTGCCTCTGTAGAACCCAAAAAGCCCCGGAATCTCCTGACAATCCCAAGCGGAGGGTATGCTGTTCCGGTTTAGACCCACACCATCTCCCCAAAGTTTCCCAGGGTCTGAGGTAGAGGTTTAGAATGGATCATACAGGAAATATCCTCACTGGTGGACTAGTTCTCTGGTGGGTTCATGCTGCTGCAAGGTGGGATCTGGGGAGAAGATCCTCTCCCTCTCCCCTCTCCTTCCTGGATGCCATGGTTTGAGCATCTCTCCTCTGCCATGGCTTTCTACAATGCCATTCTGCCTTGGAACCAGCTAACCATGGACCCAGCCCTCTTGAACCCTAAGTCTCTTCTTTGAAGCTGTGGGTGTCAGGTGCTCTATAGAGCAACAGGAAATCTAATACATATATATTGACCCAAAGTCAATGTGTCTTTACATGGCAAGGAAAATAAAATTCAGACACTTGTCATCCTCTATGGAAGGGATGCTCCATGACTTTGAATTCCTAGGAACTTTCAGAGAAATATCAGGCCCTTCAGTCTTCATGGAATTTATGTTTTGGTCTCTCACAGATGTGATCTCCTAAGGCTTCAGACTTCTTATCAATTACCCTCCTTCTCAGGCAATGAGCATCTTGTCCCCAATATTCTGGTCAGCTTGATGTTCTGTAAAAAATCGAGATCCCTTCACCCTACATTGTCACAGACAGGAGAGTGAAAAAAAAAAAACCCTGCAACAAGAATGTCCCTATGGGCCGGGGGTTTAGCTCAGCAGCGTAAGTGCCTGCTTGGCAAACGTGAAGTTGTGAGTTCAATCCCTGGCACCAAAAAGTACATCAAGAAATATGTACAAAGAATGTCACTATGTACTTCTATCCTTTCCCAGTGCAGAATGCAACTCCTTCTTCCAAATGATGGAGGACTGAAGACACGTGCACCAGGCCAAGTCTGGTGAAGAAGCCGTGTCATGCACAGCAGGTATGGCCAGGCTGTCCCCAGCTAGGACCACCATCTAGCATTGACTACCTGGCCCTTGAATAGAGAAAACAGGTGTGTTGAATGGGAAACGTGAGTAGTCATGACCAGAAAAGGCCTACCACCATTCATCATGGCAGTGGCTTTCAAACCTTAAAGTTCATCAGAATCACCTGAAAGGTTAATTAAACTACAGACTTCAGGACTCGTGATTTTTAATATAGTAGGCCAGGAGTGGGACTTGTGAATTTGTTTTTTGTGTTTTTTTGTGTTCTCTTGGTTGGTTTTTAAAGTTCTAAGGTGATGCTAAAGTTACTGAACCACAATTTGCAAAGCACTGCTTTGTGCTGCTTCAAGTCCTATTAAAGACAATGCTGTCTAAAATTCCTTTGGGGATATGGTATACTTACTCACTTGGCCAGCATGTCAGGAAATAGGCTCAGGGGATTTTATCTGACCCTTTCCATCATGACGGCTCTCATTCCAAGGTCAAGAGACCAAAGTGACTAAATATCAATGATCGAGAAGATAAAAACCCTATGGATCCAATCTGATCAGACCTGGGCCAAGACTCCATTTGTCACGTGACTCCTACAAACTCTTCGGACTCCTCCAGGATGAAAGCCGCTGTTTGTCCGCCAGCTGCTGGTACGTTACCAGACACACTCTCAGACTTACCCTGTGTGAGGGAACTCTACCGTGGTGGTGCATGAGGGAGGTGACGCAAATCAAACGGCCTGGAGACAACTGTAGCAGCAGGACCACCAGCCCCGCTCACTCCTCCTCTGCCAGACACGTGGCTGGCCACGCATTTAAAACCAGCACCCAACTTGGCTTCATGGAGGACACGAGCAGATCTGAGTGGAAGGGAGGGCCACATCCCATCTCCCATGACCTCACGTGCTCACACTGCTGTGCCTCTATCTGTGCTGAGGGTGTTTTGCTTATGCACGGCCTCCTCTGCCATCTAGGTGACGAACACCTCCTGGAGCCATCTGTGTAGACTGGATGTGAGCAAAGGCTACCCCCCTAGGGCCAGGCCTTGCTCTGGTCAGAGGGTAACAGATTAATCTCTGGCCCTCCTGACCCAAGCATAGACACATATGACAACAGAAAACCCTAGGGCCAAGCTCAATTCCTGCTGTCCGCACATGTTCATATCAGCCTTATCTGATGGTGTATTCTAGCTTCCTTTGTCCCTAACTGCCACTCTCAGAATTGTCTTCTGAGAAAGCTACCTGTGTGCATGTCCTCAACCCGAGCTAGGACAGAGCCCACAGAATACAGACAGCATCTTTGCTCAGCGAGGGAAATAAGAAAGAAAAGACGTGGATTTATTCCTGAGTCCCCCCACAGTAAGGATCAAGTAAAGAATAAGAGCACAGGAAAAACAGCCAGAGAAAAAGGAAATTCAGGAGAGATGTTTCCCAGAAGCCACAGGAGGAAAGAGCTTCAGGAGAGAGAAGGACTAGTGGAGTGAAGCCAGCGGACATCAAGGAGAAATCAGGTAGGTCAAGGCAGGCCTGGTGAAAGCCTCCTGGCCTCCCGAAACTTGTCACAAACTGGTCCTCTGGTGTTATAATGTGATGTCTGTTCAGAAAAGATTGCTGTTAGTGCTGCAGGAGAGCTATGGAAGGGCCAAGGACCCCAGAGGGCCAGGATGTGGCCCAGGTGCTGGGCTAGAGGTCAAGAGGAGCAGGATACAAGAAAAACGTGTTACAGCAGGATGGAGGTGAGGGGTGGGGCAGGCGGCTGGAGCTCTCCGAGCTGGTCCACGGGGCGGGTGGGGCAGGCCACCCCACCTTTGAGGTGCAGATGTGTGGAAACAGTGACTCAGATTCTGGCTGAATATTGAAAGTGGTAAGGGAAGGTTAGCTCTCAAGTCCCCAGGGGCCTTAAGTGGCCGCTGGTGGCCTCACAGTTGTCACAGCAGCTGCCGGCTGTACTGCGGCCAGCGCCAGGAGGCAGGCTGACCTGAGCTGAGATGGGCCACGGCGCAAAACCCACACTGGACGTGCAGACTTGGTAAAATATCAAAACTAGTGCCCCTGCTCATTATTATTATTTGTAAATATGGCCACTAGTAAATTTCAAGTTACATTTGTGACTTCTTTTTTATTTCTTTAGGCTAGTATTACCATATATGTTAAAATTATTTAACAGACTATTATGTTGCTGTCAAACAATTCTTATGGTGTGGGTACTAATTCCTCTCATAATGTGTTTTGTTTTGGTCTAGATAATTCCAAAATGTAGAAGAGAGGCACAGATGCAATAATTTTTTTAAGTATTTTTTAGTTCATAGCACATGTCTGGAGGGTTGGAGTTTGTATAATTGAAAAAAGCATGTCATTCAGGGTTTGTGTTCAGCCGTACATAACAGAGAACTACGCAGTAGCAAACTGACCTGATAATAATTTTTCTCATAAGTGACCAGTACCGGGTGCTGGGCTCGGTCAGGTGGGGATAAGGGCTCTGCAGGCCTCCTGGGCTTTGGCTCACACTCACTGAAGGCTCAGCTCCCATCACCACATCCATGGAAGGAACGGGGAAGGCAGGCAAGGCATCATCGGAGTTTGTCCCTCGTTGAAAAGCTTTCCCAGAAGCGCCACCCCATGACTTCTGGTTACGTCTCGCCAGTTGAAACTACATCTGGGGAAAGCTGAGAAATGTAGGGTTACCTAGGCCAGCAGACATCCCCGCTGCAACAAGAGCTGGAAGTATCTGTCCACCTCGTGGATTATTGCAGTGGCTGATGGGCACTGTATCCCCGCCCCTCCTGTGTGCAAGGCCGATTGAGCCATGGGGGAAAATTCAGGATCACAAGACATCTGCTCTGCCAGCTTCCAACAGCTTATATTAATACCTCACACCCACAGGGGGAGATTCGCTTCCAACTGTGCTCCTGTCACCAGAGACTTCCCGCAAGGTAAAACCGTAATGCCTTTGTAAAGCCAACTATTACCCACAGACATTACAGATTCACAGAGGGCCAAGTGCTTACCCTAATGCTAAGAAAAAGTCAAGTCTTTTCATTCAAAATTATCCGCCCAGCCCCAGGGCAAGGCTGTCTGTGAGGCCACAGGATTCCAAATGGGAAGAGCCCTGCTGTCAAAAAATCCACAGGCTTGTGGGGAAGCACACAACATACACTCAGATACTTGCAGTGCAATCAAACCTGTTGGAATAGATCTTGAAGTTCTGGCAATCATCAGGTTGATTCCTGGGATCAAGCTGGGCCAATGTGCACACAACGCTGTGTCACTGATGGTAGTTATGGCATGCTGTGTCCTGAGCCTTGTGTCACCGAATGACGGCACACACAGAGCCTCATGTGTTCTTCAGAGCTGCCTTTGAGGTAGGCACAGTATCTGCACATGCAGCAGCTGAGAACCCCATGACACACTGGTGTCCTCCACTGCCCCTTGCAGCCCTCTCACCGCCAGGACACTATGGGACTGTCTGTTCACCATCTACTGCCCCTGCTAGGTCAGCCCACAGGCACTGGGGCCACATCTGTCCCCACCCCCACCAGACACCAGGTCTTCCTTGGTGCCTGGATATGCAAATGTTCCTGCCCAGCGACTTTATTTCTAATTAGGCCCAGCACAGCAATGCTTGTTTTATTGACAGAGCTTCCCTGCAGGGCTGGAATGGAAGGGTTCCTAGGGATGCCTCCAAGCTGGGGAAGGGAACTGTGGTTACATAAGTGAGATCTGCCTGAAGAGTAGGGAGGGCAGTAAGTGTGCCATGGTGTCATCAGTTCCAAGTCAGAGTGCTAGAGTTTGGTGGGGAAGCCCCTTCATTGTGCCACCCCAACGTCAATCACAGTAGACACCCAACGCTAAGCCACTGCCAAGTGCTTGCTTCAGTTAATGGACTTTATCAACTGCTAACAGCACCAAAAACCAGTTTTGTTCAATAAAGATCCTCCTGTACCCTCTAATAATGAATGACCCCTGGCAGCTCTCAACGTTCTAAGAGCTAGTCTGTAATTCACAGAGGACTTGTGGCCCCCAAGAGGACACTCTTGGAGACAGTTAGTCCCTTTCTCTACCAGCCCAGCACTAATGAGCAACATTCCATTGATTTCTTCATTTTCAGATGGAAACAAGGCACCGCTCTGCCTCCTAGAGATGCCAAGAAGAAAGAGCACCAACAGGTATGTCATGGTTTATGTGGGTGGCCCCCAGGCCTCATGCGTTTACATTATGCACCTGTGACTGGTTCATTGTCTAGTGCTCGGATTGATGGTGTCAGTGCTACACCCACATAGGGGTGGAGCCAGCATACAACGTAATTGCAGGAAGAAGGCACGTCTCGCTCTCTCTTGCCAGTTTCTCCTTGCTGTTTGCAGCTGCCATGAACTGTGGCCCTGCCATGCCACCCTACTTGGAGCCAACTGAGTATGGACCGAAACCTCCAAAAACTGTAAGAAATAAACCTTTCCTTTCCCAACTTGGTGCATCAGGTATTTTGTCTCAGCGACAAGTTAAAAGTAACTAAGACAAGGTAAGAACCTGTAACCCTTCCGTCAGCCCATCCAGCCTGGCTCGCCCTGCCCACTGACTTACATCATTTGTTCTTAACCAATAAGTAAGTTTCCTCAGCTCGGAGGACTGAATAAAGATCTCACAGAAAATGTTGCTTCCAAAGAGCAGATGGAGGACACAGGAAATGCATTTACTGCCAGCCAACAAGATGTCCAAAGGCCTCGAGCCTGGGCTATCTCACTGACCCTTGGCTCCTGCTACCTTCATCACCTGCATTCAGTCAAGCATTCAGCAGGGCACTGATGGGAGTCTTTCCCTTCACGGCCTTGTAAACAGTCTCAGTTAACCTCTCGGGCTGAGCAGGGGTGACAGCGGGGAGGGGGCAGGAAGGGCGAACAAACAAGTTAGAAAGTTAAAGAAAATAACAGATGAAGGGGAAGACAGAACTCATATCAACACACGGCGTGTTGCAGGTTACCTGACCATGGTGATGCTCCGAAGCTTCCCCGTGAGGGCAGCTGGGCTGATGCTCAGTGTTGAGTCCAACAGGTGGAATTTGGTCCAAACACAGCAGTGGTTGAAGCCAAATCTTTACCTAGCACAGATACATTTCAAAATAATCATGACTTTGTGCTAATCCTCAGCATTTCTGTCACTTTCGAAACAGAAATAGCCTCTGCCCCTCTGCCCTGCAAATCTGTCCCAAGGCACACAGGCATGGAGATGGTGCCACAAGTGTGAGCAGCATGAGGTGTGCCAGGGCACCCTGGCCACCAGCGGGAGGGGATGCAGCTGATGAATGCTAAAACCAGTAGTGATTATGACGAGGAGGCTCTGGACACAGGTTAGGAGGGAAGCTGGGCTGGAGCTGAGGAACCTGGCTGCAGTCGGGTGGGCAGAGCAGGGCACAGAGCGGGGCGCCTCTGCAGGCCCAGCAGGGCTGCTGGTGCATAAAGACGGGCTCGGGAGAGAGAGGCGGGCAGCAGGAAGAGGCTGTGGTCAGAACCCCCACGGCACAAACCGCAGTGCAAGCCTAGACCCCTGTCTGAATGGAAAGCACATCTTAGAGCTCAGTAAACACTGCAGAAAGTACAAACACACAAGCAGAGCGCGCAGACCACCACCGCACTCTCAGCTGGACTGCGGCCCCACTCAGAGCCGTGGACGGCTCAGACCTGGGCCCGGCCAGCCGGAGCCGGACAGCCAGAGTCCTGGCTGAGCACTCAGGTCCGGAAAGAGTTTCTTACGGGGCAGGAAACTCTGCCCTCTGTGAAATGATTCGTGAAGCCAATTTCATGGCATATCCCATCACTGTTTCAAAGAACAGTGAAATAGGAAAATAACACTTATCATCAAATGTTTGTATTTTTGCATATTTTTGCATAGGACTCATGGGAGAATCCATTATGATCCTAAATGAATTCCCTACTACCACAGTTAAGCACGTACATTTAAAAATGTATTGAATTTTCAAATTTTATCCTGTCTGTTCTTTATCACATGGGAAATTCTATGTCGTCTAGGTCGGTACTTTATTATTATGCTTCTGATTATTGTCCTAGAAGTAATATCTACGTGGGAAACAGAAGTCTCTCAACTCTGGGTAAATACGACGAGAAAACTGAATTTCTCCTTTGAGTACAGTGACCAGTTTCTCCGCCGGCTGGTACCCGACAGCGTGCTTGAGACTCAGGGAAAACACGTTTTACAGTGGACGTGTTTCTCACATCTTCAGCAGTGGTGACCTTTCATCGACTCCACATTTTCTTGAAAAGATGTGAATCCTACTGCCAACTGTTCAGTGTTTTATTTTCTGTGGTAGACATTTAATCTCCTTTGTTATTTAGTTGGTTAGAGCATTTCTGAAATATTACTTGTATAGCTGGATAAATTCAAATGGTTCATGTAAAATTGTATCAGCTGTGCAGAAAAACTCATCAGTGACCTTACCTGGAATTTTCTAATGACCTATACTAAAAAGTGGGTAAAAAGCTTAAATTATCAGGCTGGTGATTTAGCTCAGCGGCATAAGCGCCTGCCTTGCAAGCACGCAGTTATGAGTTTGATTCCTGGTACTGATTAAAAAAAAGCTTAAGTTATCTAACTTAAATTAGTCATGTGAGTAATTCACTTGTTCATTATTCTACTGCTTTAAGCTTTTTAATAAAGTAATACCTGGAAGTTTGTTTTCTAAAAACCCACACCTGACATGATTAATTTTGGATTTATTTTCTGCAAGCACACTATCTTAGCTACTTTTCTCGTTACTGATACAAAACACCTGACACCCAGATTTAAGGTAGGGAGGATTAATTTGGCTCATGGTTTGTAGAAGTTGCAGTCCATAGTCAGCTGGCTGCAAGGCAGGGGCATGGCAGAGGGCCTCCTGGAGGAGAAAAGTCCACGGCAAGCAGGCAGGGAGAGCACATTAATGCTTCTTCTGTCCCTCAAATTTTATGCAGCCTCAACTAAATGCCATGTGAGAGAGACTTGGAACAGACTGGGCATCAGCCCCAGCTGTATTAATCAGAGCACAGAAGAAGTGGCACATTTGTGGAGAAATTTTCCAGAAGCCAAAGCAGTGTAGAAATGAATGTGGGTTTTGTCGAAAGCACTCTCTGAGCATCTTGTGTCTGTGTGTTGGTCTCTTCACGGTGTGTAGGTAGTGGAGAGCACTGAGCAGAGGGTGCCTCCCCGCAGAGCAAAGGGCAGGTTTGGATCAAGTCTGCCTCTGCCCATTAGAAGCCTCCAGGTTCTAGGCCAGGCATGGTGGCACACACCTATGTGCCCAGCACTCAGGGAGGCTTAAGCAGGAGGAATGCAAATCTAATTCCAGCCTGGGCTACTTAGCAACTTAGCAAAACCCTCTCCTAAAATTAAGAAAAGGGCTGGAGATGTAGCCAGTGAAAGTGCCCTGGTCCAATGCTGAGTATCACTAACAAATAAATAAAAACAAAGCTATAAATTCTATAACGCCAAGTTCCTTCCTCATTGCATGAAAATCCAACCTTTGGCATCTGCCTGGACCCTGCCTGGCCCTTTGGAGACCAACACAGGTTTTAAATCTTATTTTGTGTTCTCCATTGATATTTTTCCATTTTCTTTATACATCTTATATACATTTTGTGTTCAAGATATCTGTAGCTTGTGTGCTATTGTCGTTTTCCCCAAAGCACATTGTTTTATATTCTGTTTTTTAATTTGCACCAGCTTGGGGAAAAACACTTTTGCACATGTATTTTATAGCATCCTCACCAAATCCTGATAGTTCTCCAGCTGCTGCACTGGGCCCCCTAGGCTGATGCACTAGACGTTTGTAAACGGTAATGGCTGTGTCTCTTGCTTTGCAGTGTGTCTCCCTCTTACTTATTCTGTATCTACAGTTTGGGCTAGAATCTCTAGACAACACTAACAGGCTTGCATACCCCTGCACTTCATGGCCTTTTACTCTATCTGTAAGATTGGTCCTGTATTAGTAAGAAGTTTTTTCTCATGTTGATGGAGCATTATTTTGGCTTTAGAATAAGACTTTTTATTAGGAAAAATCTTGAGTGTTACCTAGGGCCTTTGTGGTTCCTGTCCAAATGATCATATCCTAAACAACCTTCCACAGGGAACCTTTCTGGTAGATATTAGTAGGGAGGACTTTAACAAAACCAGCTGTTCAGACACATCAATTTGGGAAACACTGTGACCACTTTTAAAATTCAAAATGTAACCATCTCATTAAAGTTTCTGAGCAACACTGAAGTAACAATAGAATAACTTTGTTGAGCCACAATTTCCCGAAGTTACCTAAGCGTGCATGAGTGAACGTCAGACCTCGCCTTCCCCCCACATCTTGGTGTGGCCCCAGTGACGTGAGACTGTGTGGCGCACAGAACCCTTTCCCAGCAAATCATCCCCATGCTGCTGTTTCAGGGTGCTGTACACTGCGTGCTTGCAGCACCTCCACCCCGAAGTCATATGTTTGAGCCACTCTGGTGGCTTTTGGGAGCAAGATTCTGAGTGGAAATTAAGCAAAGAGAAGGTGGCCTTTTATAAGAAGGCTCACATCGCTCTCTGCCGTGCAGGGGCGCAGCAAGAAGGTGCCATCGCGAATGGGAAGCCACGCGGGTCTGTCAGCCCTGGGTCTTGGACTTTCAGCCCCAAAACTGTGAGGAGCATGTTCTGCTTTCAAGCCACTCAGCCTGTGGTGTTTTGTCAGTGTTGGGGAACCAGGACGGGCGGTTCAGTCCTGGAGGAAAGGGTATGCGGCAGCCTTGTTATTTTTGCTTTTTTGCAAACATATTTTGCACTTTCTGGATATCTATGTTGAAACCCAGGATTTCACCAGAATATTTCTGTGCGTTGGTGCCCCCTACTCACGTCACCCAGGGCTTCGTGGCCTTTCCAGCCTGCGAATTCAGGTGCACTGTCTTCGGTGACCTCTCTCCCTCCCCCAGAGTCTCACTGGCTCTCTCTCTCAGAACCATCGAGCATCTCTGCTCTGACGTCTGTTGTCTGGCTTCTCTTATCATCGCCTTCCTTCTGTTTATTTTCCTCTTTCTGCTGCCTTTGGAAAACGTTCTCCAAGATTTTCCTCAACATCACAAATTCAGGTTCTCTAGATTCTGCTCACTTTTCCAACCCATTTCCCCCCTATAGCCATGTTGTTTGTTTGTGTTTACAGAACGGATCTTACCAAGTTGCTAAGCTGCCCAGGCTATGCAGGAGTTTATAATTTTCCTGCCTCGGCCTCCAGGGATTACATAGGTGAGTCATAGCTCTGGCTGCCGTGCATTTAGCTTTCTTTTCCAAACTTCGCTAGCCCTTCTTGCACCGCTGCCAGTTGCCTCATCATCTTGGTTCCCTGCTGGTTTCACGGGCTTGGGCAGTGATGAAGTGGCATCTGGCACTGGGGATTAATCTCAAGGGTGTGCTGTAGCCAAATGGGAGACCAGTCCCCATCCGAAGTGCAAGCTGACCAACCAAATGCTGCCTACAGGCCTGCATCACGAGATCTGCTCCATCCAGTAAGAACCTGGAAATGCAGATTTGTAACACAAAGCGCTACTCCACCTCTGCAAAGACAGCAAATGGGTCACTTCTGTGAGCTGCTGCAGCCCTGGGCTAATTGGCTTGCACACTCTAATATATGCAATTGTAAAGCTTTGAAGAAACTAAGCCGGGGAGATCAAGAGTTAGAGAAAATGGCATATATTTAACTCTGAACATGTGCAGTTAGAACATGGGGTAAGTGTGGCAAAACTTTTAAAGTCTTCCCCTCTAACAACTGGGAGTTTATGCCTAGAAAATACTTTTGCATTGTTCTCAACACCAAAGCATCCCGCGAGTCCTCTAGAGGAGATTCCCTGATGTCCCGGATGTTGTTGGTGCTGTGGGGACCTCCCCTGCCCAGGTTCACACAGTCTCAGCCAGGGTCAAACTCCACACTTAGGACATAAATACCTTCACTGCAGAAGAGGAGTAAAATGAACAGTCAGACCCATGAGTAGGCCCAAGGTCATTTTCCACAGTTCAGAAATGTATTGAGCAAACTGAGGAAACACACAATCAGTTTCCACAGTGTGCTCACTCGCTCGCACACACATG